TGAGGAAAGAGAGTAAAAGCACGAAGGGTGATGCCGTGCATTTGTTGATTTCTGATTTCCTTGCTGATATTCGAGTTATGTTGTTTCTTTCATTACTTGTTGTTATTTGATTTACTTCGAGGTATTAGATTTCCTTACCCTATTTGCCTTGTGATTGTTGTTTGGGTGAGGAAGAGCGTAAAGCACGAAGGGTGATGCCCTGTATTGTTTTGGTGAGGAAGAGCGATAAAAGCACGAAGGGTGATGCCGTGCAAATTGTTGATTTCTGCTTCCTTGTTGATATTCTAGTTATGTTGTTTCCTTCCTTACTTGATGCCTTTCTATTCGGAACTACATTCACCCCACAGCATGTTTCCCCTTCCAGCATTGACTGGTTATTCCTGTATCTCTTTTCTGCTATATATATATATATGAACTGCATAGGTTTATTTGGAGTCTGGTCCTAGCCTCGTCACTACTTCGCCGAGGTTAGACTGGACACTTACCAGCACATGGGGTCGGTTGTGTTGATACTACACTTTGTGCTAATTTGCACAGATCTAGATATTGGATAGCAACAGTAGCGCGGGAGCCAGCCTTCAGTTCACCGAGACACTGAGGTAGCCTTGCAGGCGTCCGCAGGCCCGGCGTCTCCTCTATCTTATATTTCATTCTGTTATCTCATATATTCGAAACAAATAGTGTTATATTTCTTTCAAACGGTTGTATTTAGTACTCTTAGTAGTTTGTGAGTGATGTGACACCAGTTCTTGGGTAGAGGCATATGTTGACTTTCGCATAATTGTTCAGCTTATGTTAGTTTAGGTCTTTCGCTTATTTATTTAATTTCGTTGTTTTCATGCTATCACTGATAATTGTTAAAAGAAGTAATCTGTTAATGAAGTAGCAGTTAAGAATTGGCTTGCCTAGCTCACATTAGTAGGCGCCATCACGACTCCCAAGGGTGGCAAATCCGGGTCGTGACAATATGCTTAATCATGTTTCTGAAAATATAATATTTAAACTTGCTAAAAGTTTGGAATATTTGGACACTAATAAATTTAGGCTTCAATTGTTGGGATGTAGGGTATTGGTATATGATAGTTTATTTATTCAAATATTTAAAATCATACACTTTTTCCACAAACAATTCCATAACTCTTGGCCTTACAATAATCTTAATTAGTTTAGGAAAATAATTCAAGTGCGCTAGTTTATTTATGTGCCCTTTAAATAATTAAATATCATGGCTATGTGTATGGTCTCTGTGGCATAATTGTCATAAGTAAAAAAATAAGTATTAGTACGTGTAACTTATTTCAAGATAACTTTTTTTATAATTTTAATCAAGCAATAAAAGCAGACATAGGTAAAAGATGAGATCTAATAAAACACAAGTTACCCAAAATAATATAAGCCAAATATAGTCAATAAAGCGACCGTGCTAGAACCACGGGACTCGGGGAATGCCTTACACCTTCTCACCGGTCAACAGAATTCCTTACCCGAACTTTGTTTTCGCAGACCAATAATAATAGAGTCAAACCTTCCTTTGAATAGGGATTCAAATAAAAGGTGACTTGGAACACCGGCAAAAATTAATTCCAAGTGGCGACTCTATAAATAAAATAATCCCTATTTCAAATTTGTTACTTTAATTGGAAAAGCTCTTTAACCCACAATTCATAACACACATTATCTTTTGGGGGGTAAAAAGGGGTGTGACAAATTGTAGTAGGCACTGAAAGTCTAATTCTTCTATCTCTAAGACCCCTTATTGTGTTGTGTCTATCTTGTCCACCAAAAGTACGCGATACACGTACAATTCTTGGAGTTTTAAAGCCTCCCCACTGCCTTGAACTTGTTGATGTAGTAGCCTTTGAGGTCAATTTACTGTTGTTGGTTCCACCAGATTCTTGCTTCGCCTGAAAACTGTTTCCACTTGAATTTATGATATTATCTGTCGTTCTTCATCCTCGATCTACAAAAATCAACAACTAGAAAAGAAAAAGAAAAAAGAACATTAAACATCAAGTAGAGGATAGAAATGAAATTAAAATTAGTGATCTGATTGCAAATTATGCTTCACAAAAAGGAATATAAGGAGATATCCAATCACGAGAACAATATACGTATAAAAATTCTTGTGCAGATTCTAACTTATGTTCGATTTTTTTAAATTTCGAGCTGTGAAGATAACTAGGGTTGCTCTTGGTGTTTTCAATAGATTGAACCTCCAAAATAACTCTGCTAAACCAAGACTTGCTGTGGATGACTAATATCTAGTTGGAGATAAGAAATTAAATTATCTACAACTTCTACAATTTACATACATTATTTATACCCAGTTATATATAACTACAATATCATACAACTTAAACATAATTTTTATACAAATTTTATACAACATGTCTTTTGTATATTTTGTATCTGATTTATACATAGTAAAAATAAATTTCATACCACTAATTATATAATTATACAACTTATCTACAACTTTCACACATTATTTCTACCCAGTTAAATACAACTACAATATAATACCACTTAGATATAATTTTTATATAATGTTGTTCAACTTTCATACAATAGTTAAATGAATAAAAGAAAAATAAATAAACAACAGAATATAATTTTTCTACAATTTCTGCAATATAATATATGTCATGTCTTCTTCTTCTTCTTCGACGAGTTTCAATCTGAAATTCAGCCAAAACTAAGTTTAATCTTCATCAAAACCCCTCAAAATTGAGATATAAACTCAAAACCATATTCCCAATTATTTGCAACAACACCCAATCCATACAAATAATGATTTTTGAAAACCCAAATTCGAATTTAAAGCTTCAAAGCTTTTTAATGGTTGTCAATGGTGGAATTGCTGCTCTCTTTTCCTTTGCTTTATATTACTGAAATTTGGGATTGAGAGATAGAGAAAGACGTAGAGAGAATACTCAATTCTTTGCAACAACATCAAAATCCAACCAAACAATGTCTTTTGAAAATCCAAATTTGAATTCAAAGATTTAAAGCTTTTTAATGGTTGTCAATGGTGGAGGGGTTACAGATTTTCGCTGGTTTTAGAAGAGGAAATAGTGTGTGATTGAAGAGGAAATCGTGGGGTGTGGTTTGATACGTGGGTGAGGGGGTGAGATTTGGAGAGAGAAACTTGGGGGGAGTGGAAATATACAGTAGAGTTAAATTAGGAGACTAATTAATACCATTAAAACCCCTAAAATGTACATAAATGGTAATTAGGTATATAAAAGGTGATTATATTAAAAATCACAAAAAAAAAATGCATTTAGGACATGCTTAGGACGGTTAACCCTACTAGAGACATGCTTTCTGTTAATTATGCATATTTGTGTTTGGCTACTTTTATGATATTAATTTCTCCAAATAGAAGTAGAAGGTGCTTACACGAGATGCTTATGAACTTTGTTCGTGCCTAACATTACTCATTTTAAATGAATACGTCACGCTTAATATATATCATGGACGGTGAGACGCATCAATCCAAATTATTCTTTTTTTATTTTTATTTTGTTTCATTGTGGCAACATGCAACAGCACCAAGATATAGAATCCGATGCTATCCCACAAAGTCCCAACTCCAAAACATCTCCCACCCTCCTTCCTTTCTTCAACGGTTCTCTGTCAGTGACAATTCAGAATTTAGTGTTGTGTTTAAAAAAAATTTATTTTTCTATACATGTATATATAATTCAAGACGAAGACAATAAATAGAGTTGATATAATATTTACCCTAAATCCGCATATTCCTCTCGGCTTGACGATTTGTTCGTGATAATTAAATTATATAACAAGCAGCACCAACAAGCGGGGATAGCTCAGTTGGGAGAGCGTCAGACTGAAGATCTGAAGGTCACGTGTTCGATCCACGTTCACCGCATATATTTTCTTCCTTTGCTCTAGTTTCCTTTTTTGTTTCATAACATGATAAGTCTCTTTGGAATTAAAATCTTTTTTTTTTTTTTTTGTGGTTCACTTAGTTGGACGACTAATATGGAAGCTGGAATTTAAACTCTGCACTATCGCAATTCAGCTTGTGACCTTTTTCATGTAGTGGGACAGAAAAGGTTTAGGAGAGAATATTAACCAAACAACTCCTATACAAATTGATGCAGCCTCCTACATATTAGGGGTCGTTTGGTAGGATGCATTATATAAAATAATGTATGCATTAGCTTTGTGTATTAATAATACCGTGTTTAGTATACTTTTTGAGCCTATGCATTAGTTATGCAAGCATTATTTGGTATTATTCTATGCATAACTAATGCATAAGAAACCATGATATTAACAATGTACTGTGTTTTAATACATACATTAGCTTAGTTAAAGATAACATTACCTTTCAAAATTTTATGTTTGATTAAAATATATTATTATATTAATGCAAGTTTGATGTAAAGTTTGATATTGAAATTGCTTGCTATTTATATCTATACTATGCAATTTCTTCATTGTAAATTTTAAACATGTACTCTAATCTATACTGGAATGCATTTTTAATCAACTCATTTTCCTTAAAAAAAATTATTCAAACTTTCTTTGCCTAATAATCCAAGAAAATGAGAAATAAAATTATATCTCTAATAGATAAATAAATACTTAACATATTTTTTTTATTAATAAATATTCAGTTCTATACTATAATATAGTAGACATATCGAATAATGTTTTTTAAACTTTTTTCATATTAAAACAGTCGTCAAGATATGTTCCTTATAAAAAGATAAAGTGATACTGGTTGTGAGGCTATTTTTGTAAAAAAAAAATTAAAATTGTGTAATGCTTTAATACATCAAATCAAACGATGAATAAGAATTATGTGACCATAACTAATGCAATCCTAACTAATATCAACATTACTAATACTAAGTTTCTTATGCACCCTACCAAGCGAACCCTTAATGAGACTGTTGAACCAAAAAAAGAGAAATCTTAAGGAAGGAAACGTTCGTCCAGGCATAACATGTGAACTGCTTATAAACTACAACAAATTCACACTATGGATTAGTGCATCAAACTTGTAGTGTTTGCCATACAACAAATTTTAACTGTTCAATTACAACTCAAACAATAATATGATCATCAAACTACCCAAACCTTGACTTAACATCTTCCAAATGTTGTACAGCTTCGTATGTTTTCTTTTTGGTGAAGCGAAACAGCCAATCGGCTAAGTAAAAAAAGATATAAATAAATAGATTAAAAGAAATCAAATTCAAGATAGTTATCTGAATTTTTCTGGTGAGGGACAGTTCCAGCTACAGCTTTCTCACTGGTGGATGCTACTGGAACTGAAATTCTCTCGAATTCCACGGGCCTTGGGATCTCAGGAGGACTCGCGCAACGAATCAAAGCCCAATTTACACCTTCAAAGAAGGGATGCTGCTTAATTTCTGTGGCTCCTCTTTTGTATGCCAATCTATGCTGTGGCTCTTTCACGAGCAAGCCTCGGATAAGATCCCTCGCTGAAAAACTGACCACCGGAGATTCTGGAAACCGCAGAGGCTGACCCACAACGTTGAAAAGTGTTTGCCGATTCCCTGATCCTTTGAAGGGTGTCTTGCCAAACAATAACTCGTAGAGAAAGATACCAAAAGTCCACCAGTCCACTGCACTTCCATGTCCTTCGCCTTTGATTATCTCAGGTGCTAAATACTCGTGGGTCCCAACAAATGACATTGATCGCGCTCCAGTAGGCTCAGCAATTAGCTCTGGTAATGGGCTAACTTGGTTCCCTATTTCATTCTTAGACTTCTTTTCTTTCTTTGACTTGCTAGAAAAGAGACGAGGCCCGAAACATGTTGTAGGAACAGCACAGGATGGCTGAATGCAAGAAGGCTCGATGCAAGCTGGCTGCACACAATAAGCTGAATTCTTCCGCAGCGGCTCTGTTTCAAGAGATGACGACTTGACAAGCGTTGGACTCACAGTGCAGCGAAGGGAGAGATCAAAATCAGAGAGCATTATATGCCCGTCTTCTCTGACAAGCACATTTTCTGGCTTGAGATCACGGTACACAATGCCAAGCATGTGGAGGTATTCCATAGCAAGGAGCACTTCTGCTACGTAGAACCTGCAAGTTTAGGATACAATACAGCACTTATAAATTAATCAACCACAGTGACCAACAGATTTATTCAANGGATTTATTCAACTCACAAGAAAAATACACATATATTCCTGATATTTCATCTCCTAAAAACTACCACATCCCTATCAAAATCATGTCAAGAAGCATTACACACTAACTTGAACCTTCTCTGGATTCACAGAATGCAATTCATTAAATCTCTCTTCTCCGAACCCAGTATCAGTTAGGCTTATGATCACCAATGGGAGCAATCACACCAGATTCTAAAAGAGGTGTGAAACTGCACCAGTGATGATGAGTAGGCAACTCAAATTGTTCATTACCTGGAGAATTTAAAGTTCTTCAGCAGATCTACGAGTGGGAAACAAAGAGTTCTCTATATGACATAAATTTCTCATTTTAGCATTTCACTCGTGTTCAAATAAAAAACAGTTTCATACACATGAAGAGGCAGGAACACTTGCTTCATTTTTTTCCTTTTTCTCTCTGTGATAAATATGAACACTTGCTTCATTCATCACTAATTACAGGCTAGAGAAGAACTTCGTGAAAAGTCTAATCCAGAATCCCCATAAACCGACTTTGTTTTCCTTTTTCGTATTCATATCATTTGCAGAGTGTTTCAAGACAGTTTAAAACAAAAATGACAGGACCAGAGGACAAACACCATGACGTGTAAAGGGATAACTAGTCTCTGATAGAAGAGTACTTTTTTTTGGTTTT